CTTCCTTCCTTCCTTCCTTCCTTCCTTCCTTCCTTCCTTCCTTCCTTCCTTCCTTCCTTCCTTCCTCCCTCCCTCCCTCCCTCCCTCCCTCCCTTGCTTCCTCCCTCCCTCCCTCCCTCCCTAAGAGACAATAAACAATCAATCGTTCCCCAGGCCACTCACAATTTAATAAATCCCTATCATGTCCTGCATCCTCTTCCTCTCTAGGACACTAAGAATCCATGACTTTGGCAAGGGCAGATATATAAGAAAAGCATTGTGACCATAGGTTAAAAAGAAATACAGGCACAGAGAACAAGGCAAGAGGCTGTGACAGCAGTTTTGTTCAGGTGTGCAGAGCTGGAGGATAAGAAGATTTGGAGAATGTACCAGCTTTTCCCAGAAAGGAGACATGTGGGAAGAGAGGATCAATGCAACCTCCACCACCAAGTTCTGTGAGGTATAAGAGGACTACCCTCAGAAACACCTCCTGATTTATGCTTCTAGGAAGTTTATCTCTGTCAACCCACAGTTTTACCAGGTTTCTTTTTCCCAGGATCTTGCATCAGCCTGTACAAGTATAATTCCTGTATCTGAGTCCCGTGATGATACAGCTGACTGAAATATTTCAACTAGGAAAATGAAGTTCTACAAGTACAAGCTGCCATTGCTTGTCCATTAATAATACCTAACACAGTCACCATCCCTCCCCCTTTCTGTACCCCTGGAGCCCCCAGCTTTCTACTGCAGCATCACTGCATGAAATGAGAAACTTGTTTACAACAACAGATGTAAACCCTTGTGTGTATTCTTTGAAAGAGCCTGAAAAAAAATGTTACACTGGGTCTGTGGAATGTACAGCAGCATATCTGATGACAGCACATGTCTCTGCCAATGGGATGTTTTGGACAAAGAAATTAGAAATTTCAAACTAAACACTTGGATAATAAACTGGAAATTTTTTTTGCTTCACTTAGTTGTGATGGGATTGGACAGCTTTGGTAATTTTTGACCCTCTTTGTCCCATTATGGACATTTTCCTTTCCTACACGAAGCTTCTAATTCTTCTTTCTTTCACAGAATAAAACATGCTTGTAGGAAAGCTGTGCATTAATACCAGTTTAAAGGCCAACAGAATTCATGCACCACCTTGGAGAAGTCCCTGACCTTGGACTTGTACTTCAACATGAAGGAAAATTTCCCTCTGGACAGTGACACAGTGCATATCAGTCCTCCAGGGTCCATAAAAAAATTAACCAAGAAATGGAGATGAAGAGTGTTCCTATTTAGTCTCTCAAGCTATTCCAGCATCTCAAAGCATATGGCTTCTCTTTAATGTCTCTGGAGAGAATCCTGTGTCTTTCAGGAGTTAACAGAACAAAGTTGGCAGCTGCTTGGAGAATGAGCACGATTATTCAGCAAAGCATTAAGCTTTAGTAAACTTTGCATTGTGACAGAATTCCCCACTCCTGCAGAGAGGGATTTCAGAAGATCTCACTATTTGTGTTCACAGGATTATTGCTCATCTACATTGCATTCATAAGCATCAGCATTGTACTGAAATTCTTGTGTGGCAAAAGTCAGTCTGTAGAATATTCCAAATATGAATAAAAGAATGGTTTGGTATTTAGGCAGACATTTAAATACAGGTTAGCAGAGAGAAATTTGAAAAGGGAGATGCTGAGCATTCCCACATTTGAACTATTTAACTTGGGAAGCAGTAGGAGGGCACAAGATCATTTCTCTATCCTCCCTTTTGAAATTAAAGTGGAGGAATTTTATTTAGGAAAACACTGTGTTGCATAAGATAAAACCACATATTATTCAAGACAAGAAATTTGCCCAAATAAACTGAACAAAGTTAACCACTGGGTTTGGTGGATTTTCGGGTTTTTTTCCCAAATAAATGCAATGTAACTGTCTGTCCACTACCTAAAATATTCAACTTTGGGTAAAAATGTGAAATTTTAAGAAAGATACGATCAGGACAGAGGAGTCTGAAAGAGGTTTGAGAGTTGTTATTCCTGTTATACAGGTGCTGTGTATAAGAATGAGACAGACAAACAACTACACATCATCCAAAGCCAAAAGGTATTTTTAGATTGAAGGCTACCTTACAGAATAATTAAAATAGCTCTCTATCTTAGCAGAGGTTTATGATTAACAGCTATGATATTTGAACATTCTACCAATACTTGATAATGCCCACATTTGGATCTTCAAATTTTCCACTGTGTACTTTTTTTCCTGGAGAAAACCTTGGACTAGAGATAAGACCAACACCAAGAACATATTTCTAGCAGCTCCCAAGTCCAGTCAACCAGTCTGGGTTTGAGGTTGAATCAAGACCATGAAGTGCCTGCTACTTCTCGCCTTTATTGGGGTGGCTGGTGAGTATATTTTTAATTTTTATTTCTTTGATTTAATAGGAAGCTGTTTTTTGGAGCAAAACTTCAAGGTAGTCTATTGTGGGAAAGCCAAGTCCAGTTTTAACTTGCATAAGTCAGACTCCTGCACCTTCCATCTCCTGTCTGTTCATAATGCCCTGTGCCACAAGCTGGGGAATGAATGCTTCATAGGGGTTCCTGACTTAGCTATGCAGATGTGGCCGCAGCTTCAGGAAAAGGCTGCCTCCTTCTTCAGGACTGTGGAGTGCACAGGGAATAGTTCTGGCCCAGGAAGTTCTAAAGCAACTGCAAAATTTTGGACTCCCAGTGGGTGCTCCAAGAAAATATCACTGCACACTTGTTTTTACTTTTTCCCTCAGTCAACCCTTGACTGTTTCAGTAGAAGGGATCCAGGGAAAGACACACCTGTGATCCGATCCAACAAGAATGTTTCTGTGTCCCTGTGTCCCCTCAGGGAGCAGCCAGCAGGGCTTTACTTGCAGATACGTGAGGCACCAGTGTAAGTCTGATCCCCTTCTTTGAGGGTGCACCAAATGCCTGTGCCTTAGAGCTGCCCACCAGCGCTGCCCTGAGTGTCCATAGAAGGGGAGTCTACAAGTGAGGGGCTTCAGACAGGCAGTCACAGGGCAGATTACAGGCCACATTACCTTAGGCCAGCTGTTGACACGTGGCATTTCTTGTTCCCCAGTTGCCTTCCCCACCTTTGCTGAAGATGACGATGACAAGATTGTGGGAGGCTACACCTGTGGAAAGAACTCTGTGCCCTATCAAGTGTCCCTGAATTCTGGATATCACTTCTGTGGAGGTTCCCTCATCAGCAGCCAGTGGGTCGTGTCAGCTGCTCACTGCTACAAATAGTGAGTGGAAAAATTACATCCTTCTCTAACCTACTGCTGTCTTCCAGTTCACCTCTAGCAGGAATTCTAAGCTATGAGACAGAAATATGTAAGTGCCTCCATACTTACTGGAGACAGCCAAGGGATGGGTGGATCATTCAGGAAGCCAGACCGAGGCTTCCTGACGGGTTTTCCATTCTGCAAATGTTCCTGTGAAGGCAGAGCATTTTCTGAAATAACAATGGGATAATCAAGGCAGAGAATTCTGGGCTGTGATTTCTTATCAATTGCATTAATCTTGCTAAGGAAATCTCCCTGGAGAGCAGGAAGAGGATCGAGGTCAGTCTGGAGCTGTTTGCTTTGTCCCAGAAGATTTGTATCTAGTGCTGCTCTGTATTCAGCTGCTGTTATGTATTTACAAACCTGCAGAAATTCACCACCCATGCTTGGAGTGGGTTAAGATCTCAGTGTGGATCCCCAGGGCTCCCTGCAGGACAAGAAAGATCCCCTGCCCCAGAAGGCTTCTGTGGCAATGATGTTGGAGCAAGTGCACTCAGTGACAGGGGGTTTCTCTCAGCCTGCTGTAGCAGTAAAGGACACGCTGTGCCTTCTGTTTTCCAGTCGCATCCAAGTGCAGCTCGGGAAACACAACCTGGAGGCCACCGAATCCACGCAGCAGCTGATCAACTCTGCTAAAGTCATCCGCCACTCTGGCTACAGCCCCTACACCCTGGACAACGACATCATGCTCATCAAGCTGGCCACCCCAGCCACGCTCAACAAAGCTGTCCAAACCATTCCTCTGCCTACCAGCTGCGTGGCCACCGGCACCACCTGCCTGATCTCCGGCTGGGGCAACACCCTCAGCAGTGGCTGTGAGTACTCTGGGGGAACGTACAGACCCTTGGGGCCCAGGGCAGCCTCTATGACCTGGCCATTAACACCCAACAGGACAGGCTAAAACACAGGGAAATGCTGTGGGACGGGTTTTTTGAGTGATGCAACAGTGTAGGGACTGCACAGTGGATTCAGCTAATGTCAACAGAGTTGTCAGTTCTCTGAGAATA